ATCTATCTATCTATCTATCTATCTATCTATCTATCTATCTATCTATCTATCTATCTATCTATCTATCCATCTATCTATCTATCTATCTATCTATCTATCTATCTATCTATCTATCTATCCATCCATCCATCTATCTATCCATCTATCCATCTATCCATCTATCTATCCATCCATCTATCTATCTATCTATCTATCCATCTATCTATCTATATATCCATCCATCTATCTATCTATCTATCCATCCATCTATCTATCTATCCATCCATCTATCTATCTATCCATCGATCTATCTATCTATCCGTCCATCTATCTTTCTATCCATCCATCTATCTATCTATCCATCCAACAATCTATCTATCCATCCATCTATCTATCTATCCATCTATCTATCCATCCATCCATCCATCTATCTATCTATCTATCCATCCATCCATCTATCTATCCATCCATCCATCTATCTATCCATCCATCCATCTATCTATCCATCCATCCATCTATCTATCTATCTATCTATCCATCTATCTATATATCTATCTATACATCTATCTATCTATCTATCTACCTGTCTATGAACATCTTAACATATTTCCATTTTGAAAATTTAACTTTCACTTTTATAAAATGATTGAGTTTTGATAGTTATGGGTGTAATAATGTAAACGTACATGTAATCACGGTTTTTTAACGTCATTGATTTTTTTTTTTGGTTTATTAGTAAAATGAGAATAAATTATATATTTTCACAACAGTATAATGATATATATACATATATATATCTATATATATATATATATATATATTTAATAAATACAATCTTTTAATAAATATTTAATACATTCAAGATTGAAGCTCCCTTACTTTCACTAAAACGCTAAATAAATATATATATTTGCATTTTATTTGCTGTGTTATTATTTGGATGAGTGATAAATGCCCTAGTGAATGCTATTTGGCTATGTAGCTTCGATGCACTGATGGAAATAAACGGTATTATTATTAAATTATGTTTAAAGATTAAGTTTTTTCATAAATTTCGTAAACGTACATTTTTTAAATGAATCAAAAGTAAAAATGTATTAAATGTTAAAAATACAAAGCTAAAGTTTTATTTAAATTGTTGCCTATTTTAGCAATTTAAAAAGCAATCAGTTATATTTTTACTTTAAGAAGGATAAAATGCATTATCAGTTTTGTTACGGACAATTTTTGAATCAGAGAAACTTAGAGCTGTGGCTAAAATAGGCAAATCACACTATGATTTCATTTGTGTATTTATTTTTCAATTTTAACAACGGACTAAAAGCCCTCTAAAGTAACATATATTTATATTTTCCCGATAAATATGATTACGATGCAATTCTGAGATAATAATTATCTCATTAATATTTTGTTTTCATAACTTTTATATTCAGATGAAATGTTTAAAATCGTTCAATATTTGTTACTTTAAATGTATTTGTAAATTATAATACAAATATTTAATTTTTTTTTTTACCTGAATAAATAGGGATATATGAATTTTTTTGTGCATTTCAATTTATTCGATTTCCTAATATAAAAAAGGAATTAACTGTAATTTTTTTAGGAATCAATTAAATATCTAAATATTTTTTGGTTCTTTAGCGGTACCGTCAGCATAGCTCTTTCTGATTTATATGTCATGATTTTCTATGATTACCATGTGGCTCGTTTTAAAATGGCACAAGCAGCATTTCATTTTTACACGCCTGTTTGTGGCATAAACTTGTATGTCTAAAAAGGAGTTACGTGGTAAGTATTTTGAATATTGAAGTTAAAATGTTTATGGCCGTGCAAACTATAAAATGTAAGTAGACTTGTGTCTTTATACACATACACAATTTTGTCATTTTGATACATGTTTTTTTTTCTTATTTTAACAATAATGGCTTACTTATGATATCCTAATGCAACATCATTGACATAAAAAGTTATATTGAGAGAACTTCCAATTTTTTAAAAAATAATTATAACATAAACTTCTTAAAAGATATGATATGTTTCGATAAACCCTATGCAATTTTTGAAATCAGTTTCAATAACACGAGAGACGCACCTAAAGCTCCAGTTTCATAAAAAACAATCATTTTTTAAAAATAGCCTATGTAATCTACTTTAAAAAAGAAATTATATTCTTATAAAAGAATAACATTTGTGATAGAAAATAATGACCTGGAGATAGATCACACTTTGTAAAACTTTAGGAAGCATTACCTGAAAAAATGTTATCATACAACAACTTGAGAAAAATAATAAAATGTGACGAAATAATTCCTACAGATTTGAGCAATATAATGACAAAACATGTAGTACTTTAGGAATTAACTTTAAAGGAAAAAGCATTGCAGGAATGAAAAGAAAAAAAAAAAAGTTTTATACGGCCTATCTGACAAGCAGGTTAAAAACATAAGTCAGTATTTGCTTTTTAGTTTTGGAACTGAAGACTTGGTAAAATTTCAATAGGTATATTTATTAAGAATCTTAAACATTTCAAATACACACATTGAGATTTTAAAAACACATTTCGTATGTCTTAAATTTTAGAAAGAGGGAAATGTTGTTGCAACCTATTTAAAGATACCAATTTTAGACTATGAATAAGCCAAACCAAATAAGAAATTTCTAATTGCTTTTAAAAAAAAACACCGCACCCTTTTCTGACATGTTCATATCTCATTATTTGTTTGTTCTTCACTAGCATGATTTTTAATCATGAACTCGAAGCCGCAAAGCCAAAAATGACGACAAATCTTTTGTGGTAGACCTAATTATATTAGGATCATTTGTAAAGAGATCGATACAGGACCCTCAAACAAAAAAATATGAGAAAGACACGACCAGATCTATCTATACATTGCTTGAAATGTATAAATAGACGTCTTACAATATTAAATTCTTTCAAGCCGTGAGTCTCTCTTGAACACAAGGTAGTAGACACTTATTTCATAGGTAAACGACATTCATTTTTCAGCAGCAGCTAGATGGCATAACATAGAGTTATAAACACACGCACACTATATAAATATATATATATATATATACATATATATATGATCATAATACAAAATAATAACATGATTACGTTTTTTTAATATTATAAATTAAGCTACCTGGATATTAATTATATAAACATTTTTTTTTCATCAAAAACTATTTCTTATATATATACATAGGGGAACGATTAAATCAATTATTGTTTTTAAAAAAATCGTACTTGGATTCTATTACAGACAGACCTTTCGCAAAAAATATTATAACGTTTTCAATGTTTGGATTAATTTATAACACGTTTTATCGATCTATAACCGAGCGACGTTTTCTAGATGGGATGCGTACTAAGCAAGAAATTTCTCTCCTAGGAAAATGGACAGACCATTAAGTGGAAGGTTGTGCAACAGAGATGAGACTCGTCTAAAACAAAACTATGTTAAAGTGAAAGCAGGCATTGAGCCTAGACGAATGATAGACTTTTTGTTTTCAAAAGGATTCCTTAACAATGATGAGAAAGAATTAATTAGCAATAAGCAATCAAGAGAGGATCGAGCCGAAGTTTTGTTGCAAAGAGTTTTACATTGTGGTCCAGGAGAGGGATATAGTATATTTCTCCAAGCGTTAGACGAAGCAGGCTATAGTCATCTTTCAACCCTCCTGAGATGTCCGGGTATGCGTATACTTTGTGTGTAATTTGTAATTAAGAAATCATAACAATATAGAACATAAAAACAAGGAATCAATAAATGAAAATCATATTGATTGTTACATTTCCAATCAATATTATAAATCAAAGTATATGTCTAAAACCTAATTAACCCACTATATTGATTTTAATGTTTTTTTTTAAATAATGTATAACTGTTCTTCACTGTCAACTTTGTTTCTTTATATTTCAGAACAAAATGCAATGAACCAGGCAGCATCTAATGCCATTCATAAACCAGCGAGACATTAATCTTAAAAATAATAATTTTAACTTATTATTAACCAAATTATATTTTCAATTGTTTAATAGTCAGAAATTGTGCATATTCATTTTTGCACAAATTTAAAATAAATATATATGTATCTTGTAAACAAAAACAAATATATATTTATATTAAATATTCATTTTGTATTATTCTGCTAAATTAATTTCAATGCAAATCATTAGAAAGAGATTATGAAGAGTAGCTGAATTGCAACAAATTATTCTCATGTCCGAGTAAAACAAAAGACTTGACAACCAAAACAATACCATCTCTCAGAACGGATGGGACTTGTTATCCTTGGATGAAAACTAATCTAAAATAAAGGCAAACCCGGAGATGAAGTACAGTAGGTGGTATGAAATTTGCACATGGGATATTCCAACAACTTCAGCAAAGTCCAACGCATGAATAGAACACCAATTAAACACATAGTCTACTTTTGGGTACCGGTACATTAATAATGTACATGGACTAAGTTTTACCATTTTATCATATAGTCAAAGCGACTAGAGTAGCTAAATAAATACGCTTCTTGGTCAATGTATGAAATATTTCCTAAATAAATTCTTAGAGGTACTGCTTCATTAACCTCATTTACATATCAAATATCAAATGCTGAAATACTTTCTTCAGAGTATTGTATCTTGTATGCAGTGGAATGCACCCTTAAGGCAGCACAAGCTTATGGTTCACCATAAATAAATGTACGAAATGTCAGAAATTAACTATGAATTGTTCCTGCAATATATTTATTGGAATATACATAAAAATACAGATATATTTTTACATTTTACCTATTAATTACACATTAATTTTTATTTTTAAAATGATGCATTGCTTTAAAACAGTGATGATATCTTTCTCTTTTTTACTGAACGAAACGTACAATAAATTATACTTGTATCATCTTTCAAATAAAGTTTGTAACCTCAATGATGAACAGTTTCTTTATTATTTTATTTGGACTAAATATTTTCATTTCTTTCTTTAATGTTTGGCAAGTTTAAAAAAAAATATTGAAAAATATTAAATATCTTTTTTTACAGAAATAAATTTCCTGTTATTGTATTAAGAACAAGAGAACTTACAATTTTGATACTTAAACCGTAACGATATTAATGTAATTAAATTTGCTTACTTTAGAGTACACTTTTGTTATCTTTTCTGCAAAGATTAGTCATGGATGAGGAGTGAGGAAACAAAGAAAACATTAAGAAATTAACAGTTGTGTATTAGTTACGACAATTTTTACTGAAACGTGATAATTGAATTACCGATAAACGTCTTAAGCTTTTAATTAGATGAAAAAAAAACAACAAACAATTTAAGTAAATAAAAAATAACATGTTGAGCTTTCGTATGTTTAAACAAAATATAATATAAAGGTTATGCCAAATAACTCAAACAATACAAAAAACTGTCATGTAAGTATACATTTTATGTATAAACACATATATATATCGGCTATATATATATATACATATCCAAAACATACATACAGTGAAAAAAGGATAAAGGAAATAAAGAGGATGGAAGTGGAAGTACATTTTATGTGATTGAACATGTTACGAAGATTACGTTACCACTGTAAATATTCAGAATCAAAATTGGATTTACCTATTCAAAAAAGGTAGCACATATATATATACATTTATATACGATTTTTAAAAAATACATTTTTTAACAGATCATTACAGCATGTCAGAACAAAAAAGAATAAGTCACGGAAGGCTTCAACCGAACCATGAACAAGCGATTATGATGCAATACATGTATCTCAAAGAGGAGTTGGAAGCCAAATATATCGTTGATTCCCTCTTAACACACCGAGTCTTAGACCAGGATGACAAGGATGAGGTATTATCTGCCAGAACACGCAAAGACAGAACAGAAATTCTACTGAATAAAATACTACATGCAGGACCAGGTGATGCATTTACAATATTTCTTGAAGCTCTGGAGTCTAACAAATATGAACACATTGCCCAGAAGTTAAAAGAGCATATTTATTCAAGTAAGAAACATTTGAATTCATTAATACAATTTTATATATTACTTTTAGCGAACAATTTTAGTTTCTTTTAAAGGGAAATCAGTTTTTCCTTTCTTATTTTTAAACATTTTTTTGCAAATGCAATTTAAAAGTGTATAAGACTATTCAGTAAGATTGAATCCTTTGGGCCTCTTGCCCTCACTAATGCGTCCTATTTCAACATAGTAGGAAATATGGATATATAAATATTGAACAAAAATTTCGAAGTATTGTAACATTTAATTCATGAGTTTCAAGATGTCTTAACCTCTACTGAAAAATCTAAATGCCACAACATGGTGATAGCATTGCTAAATATAATATTGAACAATTTGAAATTTCAAACTTTTTAATTAAAAGATGTATTTAAAAAAAACAACTATTAAATGGAAAACAGAAATCGATCAAATAAACAAAAGTTGTTCCAATTTGAGGGAATCAATCTAAATAAATTCCTATAAATATTTTTATACTTGTAATATTAATTTTTTTTATGTATATTAATTATTATTTATATTTCAGCACAACACATAGGGAACGTAAAACCTTCGCTTCTTTAGTCAAGAAATAAAAGATGAAAAATGTTGACATTCTTTGCTGAATAATTAATATTAATTTTAACTGTGTACAATGATCAATTAAACCATCAGTTTACTTTTTTAATGTAAATAATTAAATTCAGAGATATCTTTAAATATAAGAGTTCTTAATGATTATTGTTAACTGTTTATTTAAATGACTTTTTTTTTCAAATACTTCTTATAAGGAGTTAATTTTTTTTTCTGTTATCTTCTTATTGGTCACTGTAATAATCTATCTTATCTTGTCCAAAGGGGACACTAATAATATGATGTAATCCTATTTTAAAATAAAATAATCACATACTAAGAACTGAACTACTTTCAAAACATGGATTTGTCCTAACACTGCAGATAGAATCTATATGGAGAACAAATTAATAACTAGATTTGGTACGTTGTCTCCATATGGATTGAACCATATCTTTTTCCTGTTTGGTTTTTCCAATTATGTTTAAATCACTTCCTTTCTACTTCTCTTTACTTTGTTTTTGTCAGGTTTAAGCGCCCTCTCCTATATTTTTTCTGTTTTAGGTAGGATATATATATTGACATTATGTAAATTTAATTTATACTTATTTAAATGTGTTGTGTTTGTTTGTATCATATAATTCTGATTCGTATTGAATTACCTGTGAAGACGCAGTACGGCTGTAATGCTGTCACGAATAAAAAGACTTATGCACCTTGAAGATTATTGTTTTGTGGTTGAATCATACACCTAGACAACGAGTCAAATATTCCACCTCAAGAATATTTGACAGGCCCCTAAATCACACAGACAGCAGTAATATTCCGGTTGCCTTCTTGTCCTGCCACTGCGTTAGTGGGTGTACTAGTACAAGTATACCAGCATGGCACCAACGGTCTTAGTTGCTTGCGGGATTCTAAGGTTATTTCCCTTACATTCGCTATACTCTTTGATTCCTTATTAGGATGACTGGGTTATTATACACCATAAATGAATGACTTCAGCTACAGTGTAATGGACTACTGCGAATAATCTTTATTAACTACACTAGACTGGCTTTAATTTAAAATAAGAAATGCAACACATAACAAAACAATCGAATCACATCAGATAAGTATAAGCTAACTAACATTTTTCCAAATGGAATTATTTTATCTAGATATTTACTTATCTAAAAACACTTGACCATTTAAGATATCAATCCTAGCAAATAAAGGTTGATCAAACTTAAGCACCAAATACAGCTAGCCAGGCACTCAGCACAAATTACAGTTAAAAGCAAGTGGTGACCGTAGCGCAATGCATTACAAACTAAGGGACGCATCCCAAGATGGGCCCTTCGTTTCAACTGCGTCAAGATTACCAATTTTTTTCTATTAATAAGACCAGTCGTACGTTTACTATCTCACCAGGGGTAGAAGTGGAGAGATTGTGAGCCAGTGGGTCTTAAAAATGAGGACCAGCGGATTTCAACAATATATAGTACAGAAAAAAAGGTACTACAAAATTTCAAGAACTTGATTTGTGTAGTTAGAAACAAGTTAAGAATAAATTCTTGTAAAAAAATATATGTATTGATGATTTAATTTGCCACATCAGTTTGGGTTTGGTTTTAGAAAAAAAAATATCTGCAATACAATATACAACCAGCCTACCCATTGTCACGCCATCGCACATTCTATAAATTGGAAAAAAAATGTCCTTACATTAAAAAAGAAAAGAAATCCATTCATTTACCATTTTAAATATATGTAACATGAACGGAATTCGATGTATTGTATCTTCAATAAAATTTAATATAAACTTTTCTACTATTTAATCGGAAAATTATAAAAAATCAAAGTAAGAAGAAAAAAAATGTTCACACAGCTGAACTGCAAAAGACAAAAATATATTAATAAGACACGAACAAATTGTGTCAATAGAACAATATGGGTTAGCTTTAATAATAATTGTACATTATACAGAATTAAACGTTTCGGCACATGCCTTCATCAGTACAAACAAACACACCACATTTAAAAAAGTAAAAATTAAATTTACATAATATCAATATACATATCCTACCTAAAACAGAAAAAAATATAGGCGAGGGCGCTTAAACCAGACAAAAACAAAGTAAAGAGAAGTAGAAAGGAAGTGATTTCAACATAATTGGAAAAACCAAACAGGAAAAAGACATGGCAGCTAAGTAAAACTATGGATTTGGTTCAATCCATATGGAGACAACGTACCAAATCTAGTTATTAATTTGTTCTCCATATAGATTCTATCTGCAGTGTTACTAGTATAGAGTATACCAGTAACTACAATATCTGAGATACCATTATGGTTAGGGCTATTGAAATGTTTGGAGACCGGACAGAGAGCGTGTTTATTTATGTTATAGAGGTGCTCTCTGAAACGGTCCCCAAGGCGACGACCTGTCTCTCCTATGTATAGTTTACCGCACTTTTTGCAAATGATGGTGTAAATCACGTTGCGACTTGTGCAGGTAAAGCCATCTTTTATTCTGAATACTCCCAGAGGGAAAGTGATCGTATCAGTTTCGATCACATAGGGACATGAGTTGCAACGGCTACGGTTGCAACATTTTGTGCCTTTATATGCTTTAATAGCAGGGAGGTGGCTTCTAACTAGCATGTCCCTAAGGCTCTTGTCCCGCCGGAAAGCGAAAAGAGGAGGTTTTCTAAAAATCGCATTTGTGACAGGGTCCGCCATAAGAATGGAGCGGTTTTTAAGAACCAGAGAGCGAGCTTTTAGGTTGTGGGGATGAAAAGTTAAGATAAATTTAGACCTATCGCTAGTGTCAGAATGAGTAGCTTTAAAAGAAGCCTGTCTAGTCATACCTTTAACTCGAGTGACAGCTGCTTTTAAAATTTCTTCGGGGTATAATCTGCGTCGGAAAAAATCCAACATTTCAGACATTCTTTCTCCAAAATCTTCTTCATTACTACATAGTCTTCTGAGTCTCAGCAACTGAGAAAATGGGATGGAGTTTTTACACCATTGAGGGTGGGATGATGAATATAGCAAGAAGCTATGACTGTCTGTTTGTTTATAAAAAATGGACGTAGATATTTTGTTCTCATGAAGGTTAATTCGTAAGTCCAAAAAATTGATGGTGCTTTTATGGATCATTGAAGTGAATTTAATTGTTGGATGAAAATTTCCAATGAAGTAAATAAAACTTTCTAGTTCTGTTATGTCCATATTAGTAATCCCTATACAATCATCAATGTATCTTCTGTAGTATTCTGGGAAAGGACCTTGGTAGTGTTCTCTCCAAAGATGTTCCAAATGGCCCATAAATAAGCATGCATAACTTGGTCCCATTTTTGCTCCCATAGCAACACCACTGATCTGATCGAAAAATTCGCCATTGAATTCAAACGAATTAAGCTGTAGAACCAATTCAGTCAAGCGTACAATGGCACTTTTTGGAAAATTGGGATTAGGATTCGTATTCAGAAAAAATGAAATTGCGATGAGTCCATCTGTTGGGAATTGAGGTGTACAGTGAAGAAACGTCCATTGTAAAAAGTAAATGGGTTTCATTAGGTAAAACCAAGGACTCAAGAGATTTGATCATGTGGTTAGTGTCCTTAATATAGGATGGTAAATTTTCAACTATGGGTCTTCCTGAACTTCCCTCATTGTGAATCTTTGGAAGCAAATACAAGCATGGTTTACCAAGATCACTGTCATAAATACGTAAGTTTGAAGCAGACTCGGGTAATTTGCCAACTTGAATAAGTTCCTCGATAGTTTCCTTGACAATTTCATTATTCTGTACAATGGGGTCGTTGGACCTCGGCGTGTAAGAGGTTTTATCTTGTAATTGTTTGGAGGCCTCTTCAATATAGAGCTTCTTATCCCAAACAACAACAGCCCCACCCTTGTCTGCCGGTTTAATAATGATATCCTTACGTGTTTTGATATGGGAGAGTGCTCGCCATTCTTGTTTAGATAAATTTGATTTATGGAGTGGAGTTTGGCGTAGATTTTTTATTTGATTCTCTGTACATTTAATGTAAAGGTCAAGTGCTTTAGATTGATCAGGTGGAGGTGTCCATGTAGATTTGCGTTGTCGTTGTACAGGAAATGAATCCTCATCCTCGTTAGATGGAGTCTCGTGAAAGTAAAGTTGTAGTCTCAGTGAACGAAAGAAACGATGTGCGTCTGACATTAATTGATATGTGTCACTAGATGATAGAAGTGGGATAAATTTTAGTCCTTTACTTAATACATATCTTTCTTGTTCAGATAGTGAAAGATCTGGTGGTATACAAACCACTAGGTTTAGTTCATTTTCCGTTACAGGAGTTGGTTTAACAACAACATTCTTGGCAGATTTAAGATTTTCAATTTTTTTTCTTTTTTCCATCAGATAATAAAATATAGAGTTCCCTATTGAGTCCATGAATAATTAAACGAATGAGATCAAATAATAAGTTATTATCTTGTGTATTCTTTCGAAAGTGTTCTTCCAGGGTACGAATCCTATCAGTGAGTTGAGGCAAAAAATATCGCTTTATATTTAAAAATTAAGTGTTTTTTTTCTTTATAAAATGATCGGGTTTTGAGATATTATTATCCACATAAAATCGTAACCAAACTCTTCCTTTCGAATTTGTAATGTATATCCAATAAATGTTACCATACATTTGTTCTAATGTAGACATATCGTTTATCCTCATAAATGTAAGTCCAGATTTTATTCTCGCCTTTGAAATTCATCTTTTGCAACTTAATGAAAATCTAGATAGCCTATGTTGCAATTAAAATCGAATCCTTTATTTGAACTTTTCAAAAAATTTTAGGTTCTGTCACACTTATATAAGCGTTCCAACTGTTCGTTAAAGCACTTGAACAATATTTTTCAATTGGTATAACACATTTTAAAAAAGACAACCTTAATATACGTTTTCATTAGATTTAATGTACATAAACATCCACAAAAATATACGCATCTCGTAATATGATTTTATAAGAAGGTTTAATACTTTAATTTTATTAGGTTTAAAAAACTATATATTAAACCAATTCCAGGTGTGTGGTATTTAAGCTTTCAGATAATATTAAAATTTATTTTGAAATGTCTTGACCGGACCTTGGTTCAAGTTGAACTCTTTTTGAACAGTTTTGGCACAATTTGTCAACCTGACTTCAATGCCGTTTTAAAACGTGTAAAAATCCCCTGGTTAATTATAAAATATTAACTGATCCATTGTGCAATTCCTTCAACCACTTTTTGATGAAATTCTGAAACTTAAACAACGGTGCCTGGCGAAGTTTCAAAACTTCGCAAAAGATCCGTGGTGCTATTCAAGAAGTTTCAACTATACTTTGTACATTTTGTAAATTTCTTAAGATTTATTGATTTGAAACTTTAAAAACAAATCATAAATAATGTTTATAAAGGATCATATTTCTTCAAAATGTTCGCTCCAAATGATGTTTAGAATATTTAATCAAGTAAAATAGACACTTGTAATGATACGCGAATTATTAATTTCTTTATCAAATTCGTGTCAAGTTTTTGTGCAACAGTTACAAAGAACTGAACTCAAGTTCCCTTTCATGAGCTAGGTAATGTTTAATCCAGAAACATATCCATCAGGATGTGCAATTGGTCAAAAACATGTGCAGCGCAGCTCGCTATATGTAGAACAATATGGTAACACATTATTCTACAATGTTCTCACACCAGTCGCCA